AGGAATATGATAATCCAAAGAAGTCAGCCTTAAGGATATGCAGATCCAGAACATGAGCCAAGCACTAACATATTTGCTAGGGTGTTTACCTTGAGCAGCCCCTTAATAGTCAAAGAAATGTTAGCTAAATGTTTCTCGCTTCTTAAATGCCACAGGCAAAGTAAAACATGCAGCTACTGCACATCATCTGAGGTGAAGTAGTTTAAGGGCTTAGAAATCCGAGCAAGCACGTTGCAGTAACATCGGTGTCTTGGGTAATTTTGAGCTAAGAAAGACAGCAAAGTACAGCGCTATTTTCTGCATGCTTTTTAGGTGAGGAGAAAGTGTTTTCTACCTCTAAATTTACTGTAAAGAAAAGGAATTGCCATGGTTGATATGAAAGCTAGCATGCTAAATTGACATTAAGCTTATGGTGGGTAGCTCAAAGCGCATTGAAAAAAATTTAACTCTGGAAGTGTGCCTGTATGCCTTAGCAGTCAACTGAAGCCCAAATATTTCAAGGTGGAAAAAGATATTTTCTGTCTTTTTAGATGAGTTATTTAAGCCCAAGGTTTTTCTTCAAGTCTTGTTTAAAGCTTTAGTCCGTACTGAATGAAAACTTAGTATGAACAAAACTGTAGGCAGTTTCAGTAAAAGGTTGATAACACATAGCCAGTACTCTTGAGGAAGGTATAATGCAAGAGGTTCCTTTGGAGCTGTCTTAGACTCCTCACAGTCTGAGCGCAAATGTGAAAGAAATAGCTGTCTACCTCCGTTACGTTGTCAGTCTGGAACTACGGTATATTTGCAAAATATTGTCCATCGTGTGGAAACCCTCCATGCAGCATGGTTACCCAAGGAACCAGTTTTCCTGGTCTAGCCTTCCTGAGAAGGTGTATTGAATTTTGGGTTTGTTTATAATGTTCATGGGAAAACAGGGAACTAGCCAATGGCTGGAAGAGGATTTGTTTAGTTTTCTTTTGTTTATAATCTGTGGGTGCTTATACAATGTCCTGGTTGAACACTTTAGTTACAGTGAGCTGGAGGGACCCATTACTGACTAACATTTGTCTAAATGCATTTTTTAAAAATCCCCAGTCATGGATAGTCTGTAGTTTTCCACAGGCAATCCCATGTGCTGCTTCGCCGTACTTTCCTTTACAAAACTTCCTACCATCTAAAGTTAAACCTCTTGCTGTAATTCTAGCCAACTTTCTTTTGCCACCACTAGGTTTTAAGTGTTTTGAGGGCTGCTACCATGTCTCCCTTCAGTTCTTCAGACTAAACAGTGTCATTCGGTATAGTCCTTCCTCACAGCTCATGACATGTAAACACTTGGCCATCTTTGTCCCTTGGATGTTCTCTTTGGTGTGTCCTGGGTCTGTTTTCAAGGGTAGTGCCCATAAGTAGATACTGTAGCGGGGCAGAAGTCTCAGTATTGCTGTCTGGAATAGAAAACCTCTGATGTAATTTAAATAAACAATGCCCTTATTTACAAATCTTATGTTACTTGATGACACCAGTGTGATACCTTCAGGTTTTAGCGCTAAAGTGCACAGCCCTGTTGTTAAAGCTCAGAGCCTGAGACCAAACATTTGGATATTTTTGAGGAGGAAGAGAAATGATGGCCTCCCCTCTGGGCATCAATGATAGCTTCTGCTGCCATCTCTAGAGGGATTGTGGCCCTTTTGCACAGAGGAAGAACGATATATTTTAGAAAAGACTGCCATATGCACACCAGAGCACGCTCTTGTAAGATTTCCTTGAGACTATAAATAATTAAGCAGCTTATTTTACCTTCTAAATATCTCAAACTGTGGCTTTTAAGGAACACGACTACTGTGTTGTAGTAGGCTGTTTGGGCTGGCTTACCTAACAGCACTTCTGGGCTTCAACAGTGATAGAGAAGTAAGTGCTTCCCACTTACCCCAAAAAAGGTACTTCCTTCAGAAATGGGATTTTAAAAAATGCACATGAATCCACAGAGGCTGGGAAGGATCATACAGACAGACAATTGAAGTGTGGGTACAAGACCACCCAGTTTTTGTAAGATGAACAAGATTGACCCAAAAGGGACCAATTCTATATTGTACAGGTCAGTGTGGAATATAAGATCATAAATAAAATGCTTCCTAAATCTCCCTTTTTAAAGAAGGGAGACATTCGGAATCTGGCCACAGAAATGTAACAGAAGTAGAGAGGAGGGATGTGCTGCTTTGTAACATTGACTGTAGTCACTCACCTTGGGGACCATTTCAAACTCCATGGGTGTACAGAGGTAACATGACAAAATGTGCTGTCTGTTAGAAAATCCTGCTCCTGTCAGGCAGCAGAAGAGACATAGTTGAGAGCTTTACCTCCCAGTTCTGCTTACAGAAGTGATGTAAGGGAAGTTGCATGTAAATAGTGTTGGGGCTTTTTGGTGGGTCTTTTTGTGTGGTATTTTTTGGGGGGTTGGGAATTTTGGGAGGTTTTTTGATTGTGTGGGTTTTTTTGTTTTTGTTTTTGGCTTTTTTTTTTTTGGACTGGCAATTAGGTACCTACTCCTATTAGCTTGATGCTACTCCTCTCTGCTGGAACAAAAATGAAAGTGGGATTTGGAATGCCTGAAAGCAACAGGATCCAACTGATAGTTTTTATTTACTGATGAAAAAGGCTAATTCCAGTATCCTGTTTTCTACTGAGACTTGCTAACAGACCATGCTATTTGTGTTAAGCTAGTCAAAGCGATGACTTGTTCATTAGTAAATTTTAAAGTTTAGTTTATTTTTTTGCAGCCTTTTACTGTAAGGTTATCTTAATTTCTGTAATCATAACATTCAGATTGTATTCCAAAGGTGTTTTACGATACATTCATTAAATGTAGAAGCTGAGCTTGTCTGAATTTCTGACTAATTATCTTGTCTTTTCCTTTTTTCAGGGTTTCGCAAAAATGATGAAATGAAGGCTATGGAAGTATTGCCAATTTTAAAGGAAAAAGTTGCATACCTTTCAGGTACAGTTATTTTCTTCTGTTCTGGAGTGCATAACTGTGTTGTTAGTCACATGTAAAATGGTATTTTAAATACTTTAAATATCATTACAAAAGTCATGGGAAGCTAGGGTAGCACCTATTCCAGTTGGATATCCCAAACATAACGTGAGCATTGTGAAAGGACCTGTAATAAAGGAGATTCCTGTTTTGTTGAATGTGGAACATACTGCTTGTTGTTGTCCAGTCATGTCCTGTCCCCTCTGCGTATCCCAACGGCATTCTTTAGAACAACTTAGAACAACCTGCTGTGCCGTAGTCATATTCCTTCTCTTCTTTCTGGTTCTTCCGCTGGAGAGTTTTACAGAGATGGCTTTGTTACTGGCCCATCTGAAGCACTGGAGAAATCTCTCTGTTGCAGAGGTGAAATTTCAGTGTGTAGCTTTTGAAGCACACCTGGTATCTTCATGGTGAAATGAGTTGGCATCTAATTTTAGCTATCTCCAGCATGGACTTTGAAGGTGGTTGCCTACTTAACGGGGAATAGCAGAGGATTTGAAAGTGGAGTTTAGATGAATGAATATAGTAACTTATTCTAGGACTTGATAAGTAACTTTACTTGATGGAATGATGGCTGAGGTGCTTATTCTTGTGATCTGCGTTTTGGTGTGACTTTATGAAGTAAGTACTTCCAGATCTGTTGGGATTAAACAACATCGTTCTCTTTGCCATAATCTCAGTGTCAAATGCTTTAGAGGACAGTCTCATATGTGAAAGGTTTTTTTTTTGATAAATAATTTGTCAAGAACTCCAAAAATAAAGCCCTTATCTGTGAATACAAAAACATACAAAATGATCCCTGAAATTACACTCTTCAGAGATTTGCTGTGCATGGATGCTGATGCTTGCAAGTACAGTATGCAGTTCACAGTACTTCATCCTGTCCGATCTGCTGAGTTAAGTAGAGGTGTAAAGCAAAAAATATGTTTTTTTTTTAAAAGGTCCTGGCAACTGTAACGAATGATATAACAGACTACCCACGGCCGATTTCCCTGGTAGTGTGGGAACTTCTGCTTATGAATTGTAGTGCTGTTGAAGGCTTGCTTAAAACTGTCTAAGAGGGAAAGAAGAGGAGAAAAGGGAGTTCAGCACAATATTTCCATCCCTCGTTACTCTCTTTTTTTGGACTTTGCTTTAAGGCACTTAATGAAAATGTAGTCAGTTTCCATTCCAAAACCTCTGAATTTCCAGGTTGTCCAGAACTTAGTTTAGAACCCTTAGAAGGGATCTGAAAGATGATAGATGTTCTCTAATGTTTATTTGTAAGCATATGCCATTCTCAAAAGGCATTAACACAGTGAAAATGAAGTGGACCGAATGAAAACTGAAGATAAATTTAAGGGGAGGTGCTGGGTTACGAACCAGAGCAGATGAGGTGCAGGCAGGAAGAAGTGTTTACCAACTTGCCTGTGTGAAGGCCGCAACTTCTGACAGAAGAATGGAGCAAATAGCTGTCGGCAGCAAGACTGACTGGAACTGATCTCTCAAAATCCGTAAATTCACATTTCCGTTGCAAGTGGAGCTCAAATGAAACGAGATACATTTGTAGTGCAAGTGATTTAAAAAAACAAAAACCAAAACCAAAAAACCCCCCAAAAACCAAAACAAACAACAACCCACAACAAAACAAACAAACAAAAAACCCCCACTGGCAAAACTACCACCGTCGGTAGAGCTTAACCATTGTGGAACTAGAACTGTCAAGCTTTATACCTGAGAACACAAAGGTAAGGAAAACTGTTGGATTACTGACTTAAAGGCTTTCAATGTACCTCAATTTTTTTCCTCAGAAGTACAACTTTTTCTCAAGTACTTGGTTTTAATATTTGTAAGTACAATAACTGGTTAAAGTCCATAGAAATAGGATAAATTTATTGGGGATATGTCTACTAATATCTAAAGAAAACTCTAAGTTATCTCTACTAAAAACTCTAATAGTCCCATTAAGCCTGAGGCATCCACAAACATCACTATGATTTTTGTATTTTGTTCTCTTATCATTTATATTGGAGTTCTGGTGGAGTTTTTGCAACATGTTCGTTGTTGATTGTCAAGTACCTTCTCAAGTACAATTAAAGTATGACAGTCAACAATGCAAAGAAATGGTTCTTTTTTATAGAGCAGGAAAGTTACACAAATAACACAGTCTGAAAAAAATTCAAGGAGTGTTTGAGATCCTCAGTTCACTTCCCCAGTCTTTTCTCTGCCTTTCTCTGCTGAGACCTTCCTTCTCCAAGTTAAATGAGTAAGTATGGGCTGTATAGCAGTATATTCATCTTTGTGTTCTTAGAATACTAAAGACACTGATCTTTCCACAATGCTGACTTTCTTAAGCACTTCTTGAGACCAGCTTATTGTGAGATGAACATATAAGGGTGAGCCATCTTACGGAGAGACTTGGACAGACTGTAAGAGAGGGCTGGCAAGAACAGTATGAATTTTAACAGAGACAAGTGCAGAGTTTTCCCCCTGGGTCAGAGTAACCAAATACCCCAGTACAGGCTAGGGTGTCTGTGTGGCTGAGGAGCAGCCTTGCTGAAAGGGACCTGGGGGTCCTGGTGGACAAAAAGCTGAACGTAAGTTAGCATGGTGCTGCTGGAGCAACAAAGGTAAATCACATCCTGGGCTGCATCCACATGGGCATTCCTAGCAGAGGGAGAGATATGATGATCATCCCAATCTACTCAGTGCTTTTCAGGCCGTACCTGGAGTATTGTTTCCAGTTCTGGTCCCCACAATTAAAGAAGGGCACAAGCAGACTGGAGAGGGTCCACAGAGGGACCACGAAGATTATCAAAGGGCTGGAGAACCTGTCCTGTGAGGAAAGACTGAAGGAGTTAGGTCTTTTCTCCCTGGAGAAGAGAAGGCTCAAGGGGTACCTTATCATGGTTTTCCAGTACTTAAAGGGCAGCTACGAAGAGGATGGAGGCATTCTCTTCACAAGGAACTGCATGGAGAAGACAAGGGGCAATGACTGTTTCTGCCATAGGTATCTCCTAAGCCATTCTTGAGATGGTGTTTTTATCCAGTCAGAAATCTTGGTGTTTTAATCAAGTTAAACCTCTTGATGATAGATACCTCCCACTTTTACTCCAAGTGTACTATGTTGCGAATAAACTGTATTTATGAGAGTTGGCCTTTTCTGCTCAACAGGTACCTCTTCAATCGGTGTTAGCCTGAGTTAGGCTGTAATTCTATATTGCATTGTTTCAGTCTTTGCTTTTCATTTATTCCTTTCATTTGTTTTCAGGTGGATATATTTAACGGATCTACTCAACATAATTTCTTTTTTTTTGTGCAGTCTGAGTACTTCATCACTTCGAAAAAACTATTTCAGTAGTGTTTTTCCTCTGCCACAAATCACGGTAGATCGGATGCAATTCGATTTTGCTTTCTCCTCCATCATCACAATCCAGTTTAGCCTCCTTTATTGCACTGTTAATGGTGTGGTTTTGTAAATGAAAAAAAAGAGTGGATTTTTCACAATCTAGCATATCTGAAGATGTATTTAGATGGAAGAGAATTCTTTCTCCTTATCTCTGTTATGTGTAGCACCAGCCAGGATAGTTTTTAAAAAGAAAGTTTTAAAAAAGGGTGAATTTAGAACTAAATGTACAAATGAGGACTATGGTGCAGATAAGTCATCTGGAGTTGTTAAAATCTGTGTGTTCCTTGCACATCTTAAAATATGTTAGTGTAGCTGTGATGCTCAAACTATTAAAGAAAGGTAAAGCTAATGATTGGATGACAGTTGGAGTGAGAATGAGGGATGTAGTCTCTTGAGAATTCAATTCTGAAACAGATCTTGAAGCAGATATTTTTTTGGTAGGGCAGGAGGCAAGGAAGTACAGAGGAAGGGTAATACTTCTGTGAAGTGTTGTGAAGTACATGTTGCTGTATGTAGGTTGATATCTGCAAAGTCCCAAAGCTCACCAAGCAAGCCTGAATTCTGGTATCTGTACATACTGATTCTGGAATAAATTCTGTATGGGAAATACTTGTCCATCATGAAACCAGTCTGACAGACTGGACTGCTTTATCTTGCTGTGGTCAAAGTAACAAAATAACTTGATGTGTAGAAAGCAAATGAGTGGGTGCAGCTTCCGTGTGAATCCTGTGGTGTTGTTCTAAAATTGCCGACAGAGTGGTTCTTGAACAACAAAAAAAGAAAAGAGGCAGAGGGGAAGAGAAAAAGCTTCCTTGAACTGATTTTCACCTAACTAGGAAATAGTGTGCTTGGGTATTGGGCGTCTCACCACCTGAAATAGAAAAGCCTCCTAGAGATGTAACCATGAAGTACAAATGGAATCTTGGATGCAATTTTTTTGTTAAGTTTAGGCAGAAGTCTGTTGAAGTACAGATACTCTTACTTCTCTGCGCGTACTTACAGGAGGAGAGTGTTTTTCTTACAAGGTGCAGTTATCTTGGTTTCATATGAGGAAATAGTACTTGATAACTTGTCCTGGTTTTCAAACACGCCATAAAAGCCCTCTGTTTAGCTTTACCTAAGTACTGTGAAACTAGGTAAAAAGGCATTTCCTGAAAAGAACTGCGCTACTCATCCTGCTGGATTTTGGTGCCATTTGGAGACCGTTGACAGGACTGCTGTTGGTGATGTGCACTAGACAGAAGTGATTCATGTTGGGTGACTCATGTGAGTTGATCAGCTGCTCATGTGACACATCTTGGCATAAACAGAGAGAATATCTCGGTACTGTGGGGGTTTTGTATAAAAGGAAAGGGGTAAAAATGGAAGTCTCACCGATGAAAGTAGTAGCTTAGTATGTTTTTGTTAAACCAAGACAAACAGGGGTTTGAGTTGCATAGACTATTGTAAGACAGGAAATTCCCACCTGATGCCTCATACGCTGTTGCTTTTAATGTTACTGGTTGTGTATGACACAGGAGCATCAGGAACAAAGGAAATGAGAGTTATTTATTGGAAAAAGCCTAAGAAAGCTTGCAGTATAGCTGATGGAAAAGGCCCAAATCTTAGGGACTTTTTTGCTTAATATTTACAATTTTCATATCTCATGTAAGACTGGATAGTGAATTTCTTTTCACCAAAAATCAAGGCTGTATTAATTTCTTCGTTACTCAACTAGACCTGAAATTTGTGCGACAGATTTTGTATCCAATATACAAAAATGTCAGGATATGATTTATCAGAAATTTAAGCACCACACGTTAAAAATGGTGTTTCTCTGTAGTGTATGTGGAGCTGGGAGCCAACTAGAAGTGGCATCCAAAATGACATAAAGAATATGGGTTTCTTTCCTCTGCCATGTTGGAAAATCGCATGATTCAGGAATCACTGTGCGGGAAAGGCCCAGAGGACTGATCTGAGGTGACTGCATCTAACAAGGCGTTTGTTTAAAACACTTAGAGAGCGTTAAAGACAATTCAGCGTGTGCTCTTCCCTGCTAGCTGCTTTTTAGAGAAGAATTTCCAGCCTATGCAATCAAACACTTTTTCTGGGGCATTGGAATCAGTAGCGTTTACGAGTTGAAATGTAAATTTTTAAGTTCTATGGTTGATGGCCTGTGGTGTGGTGAGGAGAGCATTAAGGGCTGCAGCAGATTTTGAGCTACGTTTGGTAGCTTTGGAGCCCAGTGATCAGTCTGGAGCTGAGTGGCGGCCTGGGCTGTTGGAGTCTCAGTCTTGTCATTTATCCTTCTTCTCTCTTGTGGCTTCTGTCTTGTTTTTATCTGTCACTTGCTATGTAAAAATCCTCAAAGCTTTCTGCTTGGCGGGTGGGTCGGGGTGGTCAAGACCAGATTTGCCCCTCTCCATTAGAATGAGGCAACTCGGTTGTTTTTAGTCTCGTGTCCCACTTAAGAGGGTCATGGGAAATAAGAATATGAATTTCCTTTTAAGTTTAGGATTCTGGCATTGCAGCTTGACAGAAATTCAAAGTTGCTTTTGCCTCTTCTGCGTTTCATTTGGTGCCTCATGGGGGACATGTCCAGTGCAGGCAGTCCGTGGAGACCTTGACAACCTGGCTCAGTGTCTCTAGCAAGCACACGCAGACTGTGTTGGGGAGGATAGTGAAGCATTTTTGAGGGACTGGTTTTATTCATTTGCTTTTGGCCTTCCTTTCTAAGGTGTTTTTTTTTTTTTTACAAAAAAGACTTTGTTTAGTAACATGGATTTACAATGAGGAGCTGATTTACAATGAGAAACCATTCAGGACAGAAGACAGTGATTTTCTGTGTTTCCATGGGACAGGAGAAGATGGTCCACACATCTGTGGTTGAGAACATATATGTGAAATTTAGCTTATAAGAGTATGTCTGTGTTATTATACCAAAGTTCATAAAGACACCCTACTGACTTGAATTTAGCATTTAGTAATAGTAACACTTTGTTATCATGAGCAAGGGGTTGGATATAGAATTGCATTTTAGTGTTCAACTGCAGTAAGTGTGTGCAATTTAACGAATTAAATGAGCACGTTAAAGTGGAAGCACTCAAAGTCACATTTTTTGCCTTACATATTAAGTGGATTCAGAATTGCCTGCATTGCTAAAGAATTAAAAACTATAAACTGACAATTCAGAGTCTGTATGTCAGAACAGGGTAAAAATATAAATTAAATGCTTAACTAGTATCCATCTAATCATCTAGTATATAGATTGGGTGGGAAATACTGTACACCTGAATTCTGTGCTAGTAATGAAGTTTACACTGAGTATCCTCTAAATACTTGGTACAAAGTAGCATAACTCTATAATTAAATTTAATCTGTACAATTGCTGATTCGAAAGTTAAATACGTAACAAAACACCACTGCTGGAGATGTCACACTGCTAGTCAAACTTGAATGTGACTGTAATGTATAAGTGTAATGCTATGGTTATTTTTTGTTTCAATTTTTTGACAGACACTTCCTCATTTTATGAATTGTGACAATATGCTGATTGATATTCCCAAAATTCAATTTTAAGCTGGTCTCTAAATGACGGTGTGGCATTTAACTTGAAATCACTGCTGCTTTTTTTTTTTTCCAATGGATATTCATGAAACTGTGTAGAACTTAGGTTTTCCAAAAGTGTTCTGAAAACTAGTTTTGCAAACAGGGATGATGTTATGCTGTAGGGTCTTTTAACATGTTTGATTTTTCAGGTGGCAGAGATAAGCGTGGAGGTCCCATTCTAACATTTCCGGCTCGTAGTAATCATGATAGAATACGGCAAGAAGATCTTAGAAGACTAATTTCTTACCTAGCATGTATTCCTAGGTAAGTGATGGTCACTTGACAAGATCTGAAGCTATTAAACAAAAGAAATGGATTATGTTGCGGTATCCCCACAAGCTAGAAGACTGAACGAGTTAAGAAAATAAGCAAATTTATACCAAGTTTTGTCAGTTACTGTTTTCAAACTGCATTTTGGAAGAGATCTAAATAGTTGCTCTGCCTTGTAAAAGGAAGGCTGTTGGCAGAATGACTGGTCTGCTGTAACTGGAAGTAGTTCATGTCTTGGAAATGATACCGCCATGCCGTATTGCTGTCACTGTGTTGACAATTGCAAATACAACCCAAAGCCTTGCAGTACATCAATAATTAGAAACAAGCTGGTCATCATTCACAATATGCCTTGTGTGGAGTGAGGTCAGCACAACACTCTTGTTATTTGTATTAGAGAAGTTATAGTGCCCTGATATAGAACAGGAATAACCAGGAGAGACAGATGTAAAATTGCTTGTACAGGTCTCAGATAAACCTGTGGAGAGATCAGTGAAAGTACTGATATCATTGTCTTATCAACAATTTAAGTTAGGAATTACAATGTGCTGTTTAAATAAATCGGCAGAAATCAACTCCAGTGATTGTGTGTGTGTATATATACACACCCATATATATATATAAAAAAAGTTGTATATTAATTATTGCAGTACTGTTACTCAACATAGCTGAAGATTCAGAGGTATCTGTTGTTTGGCAAATTTAACAATTTATCAGATTTAAAAATATTGCTAAACTTAAGTCATCAGCGCTGACTAGACCAGGCATTAGTGTAGTTCACATTTACCTAACAGATGACCTTGGCTGACTAAAGCCTCCTGGAACAATTTTTTTGATCCTTGGCCAAAAGGGGTTAATCTTTTGCAGATGATGGGGTCACATAACTGGAGGACACATCTGCATTGTATCACATGATGAGGGGCCGCTTTGTACACCCCCCCCCTAGGTCTATGCCTCATGAATTAGTCGCAAGCACTCCTCCTCATGTGCTGCTCAGTTTGTGTGATAAGATAGGGATGGGCTGAGCAATACTTGTTTAAGAGCATGCAGCCTTTCAATAATGGGTGTATCTTTAAAACAGTAGTTGTTTTTGTCCTTTAATCCCATAAGGCTGTTAGAAAACATTTTCACCGTGGTCAAAAAATTGTATATTATAGCCTATGTGTATTCCAGGCTAGTCAATTTTAATATATTTTCCTGCTACTGTTGCCATTTTTGGCATTCCTATGGGCAGGTGGGACAGCCAGCATTTATCTTGATAAACTCCTTTTTTTGAAATGGAAGTTTGGTATTCTGTGTTTTTTTAAACTTTAAAACAACTCCTCTTCTAAGGAACCTATATTACCACTTCTTTCAGAAAGTCTTCTGCTTTCCTGTATCAGTCATAACTCATCTTTCTACAGCGTGACCAATGAGACTGTGTGAAGTATGGCACTGAAGCTTCCATACTTCTTCGACGCTCTGAAAACCTTACCACATGAATTCCAGAATTGCATTTACGTTAGTCACATCCCTGAAAGTGACTCATGTTCTCAAACAATGGACATTTGATCCTTTTTGATAATCCGTTGGCTATGATGTATTGGTTTTGAGGTATTTTCCCTTTCCATGTTAACAAGGTCATGTAGCAAAGTCTACTGGAACAAAATCAAAATTTCTGGTGTTGGTGGTGATTGCCGCTTTTGATCAGCAGCAAGCGCTAAATGTACAAAAGGTATTGATGAAAAGAAATTAAATCTACCATTCTCAGAAGAATTGCCAGAGAATTTGGGTGTAAGGTCTGTCAACTTTTGGACAGCAAAATTGAGCTCAAATTTTGTAGAAGTAGATTGATGCAGTTTTCTTCACAGCCATGAAATGCTTTCTTATCCATTAACTATCCACAGATCGATCCTGTTACAGAAGGAATTGTCAATAAAGATTTTTTTTCCCTCTACAGACTCTAGCTCTCAGATAATACAGGACTAAATCTGAGACAGTTTTAAAAAGTTGCAGAAGTGGTAGGTAAGAGCAGTATGCCATCTTCTGTCTTTTAGAGAATCCCCTCAGTCATTAGGAAGGCATGAATGTTGTCATCAGTAAAGTGTGTGTGTATGTTCTGAAGAGTCAGCTGTAAATGAATTACATATTGCTGCTTCAGTAAACGGTGTGTTTAGTGTCTGTGTAAGGTGAAGGAGAAACAGGACTGGAAGGTGAATCGTTGTGAATATAAACAATGAAAATGAAAGAGAAGTTAAAGGCAGATTATCAAATCAGGTGTAAAACTATCACCCACAAGGAGTTTGGCAGGAGAGCAAGAGAAGCTTCCTGAGAGGTTCGTGAGATCTACTGTACACATCAGCTAGTCAACAGTGAAACCCTAGGGTGTTACAGCTGGCTGAGAAGACTACGTTCATTAGATGGTAGAATGCTGTGTTTGAAGTTGTAACACTTGCTTGATAACCTTTTCTTCTTTTTTCTGCAGTGAGGAAGTATGTAAACGAGGATTCACCGTCATTGTAGATATGCGTGGGTCAAAATGGGACTCTATAAAACCTCTGCTGAAGATTTTACAGGAATCCTTTCCATGTTGTATTCATGTTGCACTGATAATCAAGCCAGACAATTTCTGGCAGAAACAGAGGACTAACTTTGGCAGCTCGAAGTTTGAGTTTGAGGTGATTTTCCCTGTGGTATACAAATTTACATTTATTTCATTACTTTAAGTGTGCTCACTACTGATTGGCACCTTGAAAACTCTCAGATAAATTATGTTCTAGATGAGAGAAAGGGGTACATTAGACCAGTGGTGCTAGAGGGAATGTAGTTTTCTTCATATACTTAGGCTAGGTAGTTGTGCATGTTGTCATTTATATTCTTTTTCTGAGCATGAGAAAGATGGAATTAGGGTTTTACCCCTAATGGTAAAAAGTTAGGTTTCATCTGTTTGTTGTCTTGGTCTGCATTGTGGTAATCGTGATAGCACCAGCATCCGGAAGAAAGCAGCCAACTGAACCTTGCTGTTATCCTCCTGCTGCTTTACAATACACAAAATCAAAACTTAATCAAAACAGTAGTCAAAAGAGTGGTTGCTGTTTTCTCCTTAAGTGTAGTAAGGTAAGAAAGATACAAAATATTTCTCTCATTTGGGGAAATACTTGCAAGACAGGAGACTGATCAGAATTGACACTTGAAGAGAAGTGTATGAGAAAAGTTAAGTCCCGTGGACTTCATGAGCAAAATTTATGAACTCTTACAAAGAAAAAAACAAGAACTTGAAAGAAAATTTCAAATTCATTTCAGTAACAGCATTTTTTTTATTTTCATTTTTATTTTTTAGACAAATATGGTGTCTCTGGAAGGCCTTACCAAAGTAGTTGATCCTTCTCAGCTAACCCCAGAATTTGATGGCTGCTTGGAGTACAACCATGAGGAATGGATAGAAATCAGAGTTGCCTTTGAGGACTACATTAGCAATGCAACCCATATGCTGTCCAGACTGGAGGAACTGCAAGATATATTGTCGAAAAAGGAAATGCCTCAGGACCTGGAAGGTGCTCGCAATATGATAGAGGAGCATTCACAATTAAAAAAGAAAGTCATTAAGGCCCCTATTGAGGACCTTGATGTGGAAGGCCAAAAACTGCTCCAGAGGATACAGAGCAGTGATAGCTTTCCCAAAAAGAACTCTGGGTCAGGGAATGCAGACTTGCAGAACCTTTTGCCCAAAGTATCCACCATGCTGGACAGGCTGCACTCAACACGGCAGCATCTGCATCAGATGTGGCATGTGCGGAAGTTGAAATTGGACCAATGTTTTCAGCTCAGGCTGTTTGAGCAGGATGCTGAAAAGGTAAGGGGTTGGGGGAGGGGAGTATAAAAGGATGCTGCTTGACGGACTTGAAAGAAATACCAAGGATAACTGCAAATAGTAATTTTTGTCTTTAGAGTTAATCACTAGCCTTTTAATCAGGATTTTTTCTTGACTGAGAGGGACTCTTAGTCTTCTGGAGTAAAGGGGATGGAGTAGTAATTCTAAATTGTAAAGAGCACAGGTAGCTCTCACTGAATAAAATTTAAGTGGTAGTGACTTTAAAGCTTTTGCTTTGGTGAGTTTTTGTTCCAGACAGATGCTTTTACATTCATCAAGTGAAGATGAATGCTGCATGCTTTATAAATACAGATGACTAAGAACTGCAACGGTCTCCTTTTGAGCGACCCTTAGATTTGAGTGGCAGGCAGTCGACAAAGTCTGAAGAGGCTGACATGGGGAACAGCTTCACTGAGGCAGGATTTAAAGTCCCAGGCTAAAAACTGATGTATCTCTTTTGACAGTGCATATGTCATTAACAGGGGGATTGAGTGATCTCAGAATGTTTCAGGCTAACCAGTCCCTTCAAATGAGAAAGCCCTTGATTGTCATGGGATTTGAAGAGGAAGTATGGCAGGCAGTACACTTTTAGATGAGCTTGAGTAAGATTTACTTTCATACAGAATGGTTTTGCACTCACTTATTATTAACTTGTTATCTTGGAACAAATAGCTTTAAGAAAGGGTGGGGAGTTTTTCTCCTTGAGAACAAGTAACTAGACTATGCAGTGAAGTGGTTAAGTATGGTCTTTGTCAGATTTCTTGAAATATTTTATGTAAGAATACCTGAACTGGATGAGATCAAAGGTCTGTGTTAAACCAGTATCCTGCTCTCCAGCAGTGGCCATAAGCAGGTGGATGGGGAAGAGTAAAAGCAGAGCAAGCACATATAATACTACTACTTCCTCTGTTTTCCTCCCCCGTACTTTCCCTTACCCTCATCATTTCAACTCAGGGACTTTCTTTACACTACTCTTAATGTTATCTGCTCTGTTTAAAAAAGAAAAAAAATATTTGAATTACCATTTAAAGTAGGTGTTTACTGAATGTGTATAGCTGAAAATAGTAGGGGCGTGTAAAAAGTTGAAAAAAATCTGGTCAAGTGTTTTTAGAGTTATAAAATTATTCAGAAAATAACAAACTGTTGGTCTGGCATTGCTCTTTCAGACCCAAAGTGCTTTTTAGCAACCTTTCAGCCACTTAATTACAGTATTAATTATTCTTTATCACAGCATGAACAAAATATATTTTGATGGTGCTCATGTGGTGTTGAAAGATACATTCTTCATTTACTCATCTGAAAGTTGCCTACATAACTTGGGCTTTAAGAAACTCCTTGTGAAATACTTGAGCCTGTGGGATTGATCTCTTCCTGTCATGTGGTTGCATAAGCTCCTATCTGTATTTTCTAAGTTCCTGATTCCAAGAATAAGTCTATATTAAACTAACACATCTTTCTTTCAGAATAGAGGGAAATGTTAGGCACCTCAAAATGGGATTGACAACAGCTAGCGTACCTGGGACTTTATTCTCTCATCAGCCAGTAGAAAAACACTAAAACAAAGGTCTATGTAGTATCCCAACTCACTTTTGGATTAAGACTCTTGCCTTAATCTACTTGCAGCCCTGATTTCGCTGCTTGTGTCAGATTAGATTTCATAGCTCAGGGCTTCTTTATCAGTGTTTGTCTATGTGGTTTTTTTAGGTGCAGGAAAGGGCTGGATCTTTGTTGGAAAAATAGAGGGTATTGGAAGGGGAAAAATATACATGTTCATTTTGAAGGACTTGCAGAACTCTTTGCACAAGAAATCTGGGCTGGTTCAGGAGAAGGCAGAAAAGGGGTGAGATGGGAGAGAATCTGATTGAAAATGCCCTGTAGGTATCTAAAGGCAGCAAAGTCAGACTAGACATAGAGAATGGTGGTCATGGGCAGGCCCAGTGTCTATTTTGAATAATGTTCTAACACATCTTCACTGTACTCTAGATAAGAAACTGAAAATTTTAGGAATATGTGATCAGCTGTCTAAGCTCTTAAAACTTTTTTTTTGGTTTACAGTCCTTACCATATTGTGGTCTACTTATAATTTGTTTTGTCATGTACCTGGGTGGAATAATGGATTTGATAATATTGCTGAGTTAGCCAGCATATTTTAAAAGATCTTTAGATGAGTACTTACTGCTCATTGCTACCATTTTTTTCTGAACAATTTTTTTCATCTTAACCAGAGAGTAGGTGGGTCTTTTGAGCTGAGCTATAATGCAGCTTTCAAGACCATTGCAGGGGAGTGAAGTGTTGTTTAACCTTTGTCTATGTTGCTTGGTCTTTGAAAACTGTCTTCCAGTGCCACTGTTAACATACCTATGTCCGTCCGTTGATGGTCATTGTCAGATAAGGTCTTTCCTAAGATTTGTCTGAATATTGAGTATTAAAATACTTTTTAAAAAAAAAATTTAAAGATTATCATTAAACTTGTCTGGAAGAAGGTAATGTGTAACTGTATTCAAGTATAGTTTCTGTAATTTGTTTAGCAATAGAAAAGTTGTTTTCAAATTTGCTGTAAAGTTATGAACTAAAAATATTAAACTTGCTGCTGAAGTGCTTGATCGGCAAGAATGAATTTATATTTAATTTCCATGAGTTGCCATTTTCATTCTAAATTACTAAGATGCTGACGTCATGAAATACTGACACTAGAGAATGTATAAGCTTGGTAACTCAGGGCTGTGCTCCAAGCCTGTTTGTTTACTATGACTTCTTTGTAGTAATGAAGTTTATGATTATGCTTTACTGTAGCTTGTTGAGATGAACACCTATAGTAAAGATTTAACAGCCTTAGCTGTTTGATCCAAAAAGTCAGATTTCAGCAATGATTTGGTTAAGATGTACAGTAGCTTACAATGGAAAGAGCATCAGTGTTAATTTTCATAGTCTTAGACTCTTCCTGTCTTCTTTGTTCACAGATTTCTCACATTACTTGTCTATGATTTCTGCCATAACAAATTAATGTGTTTTGTTTTTTTTTTTTTTGCCCCTTAATATTTTCTTGTAGATGTTTGACTGGATCACACACAACAAAGGTCTGTTTCTGAACAGCTACACAGAGATCGGAACCAGTCACCCCCACGCGATGGAGCTTCAGACACAGCACAATCACTTTGCCATGAACTGTATGGTAAGAACAGACCTCGCTTCACAGCAATGACACATTGTCTATTTGCTCTATGTTAAGGTAGAATTCATAAATCATACACATAAATCATTCCTTCTGTTACAAGTAGTGCAAATTTGTATTTCAGCAGTGAAATTATAAAACAAAAAGGAGGAAAATAAAGGGTAGCCAAGTACAGAGGTTCTGTGATCAAACAACAAAATTATTTTGAAAAGTATTCAACACATCCTCAGTACTTCTCAAATATAATCATCCAGACTTCTAGAACCTGGGATGTGTGTTTGAGTACTACTTTGAGTCTTGTAGGAAATTTCAGAGAATCATGCGTAATACAGAATTTAGCACTCCATACAGAAAGAAATAGCTCTCAGGATTTTCTGAATAGGTTGCAACTCAGACAAAAAGTTCTGAGAAGTAGTAATCAACAGCTGAGCCTGGTGTAATAATTTTCCATATTTTTAAGAAGACACACTTCTCATTTCTGGCACAGTAGAGTGGAGCTAAACAAACTTTTCTTTGGTCAAATACCATCTTAGGATGAGCTATCAGTAGGCTGCAATTAAGAATTTGGATTTTAACTGGCAGTGAGAGAAAGCTGCTTATTTTCAGTTTCATGAATTCCTGTTTGAACATGGGGACCAAATTCTCAAGTACATTTTAGATCCTTTTCACTAGCAGGATTGGAGGTGTTTAAATAACTTTGGGAGTCTGGGCCTAAATCCAGTCCCTGGCTGTCAGCTCAGTGAAGGAAGAACACTACCAGTCTTGTTAGAAATTAACATCCTTGGCAGCCCAAGGATGGGAATTGGATTAAAGTATGGCTGAAACAATCAACTCTTGCAAGAGGGTGTTTTTGTAGGGCAGGACTACTAATTGTGGAAAGAGAGAGTGGCAAAGTAAACGTACCTAGGTTATGCATCTTGCTGAAGTAACAGAAGGACTAGTAAGGCAATTCTTGTGTATGGTATAGCTAGAGTTGGAGCAATAGAAGACATGAGTAGAGAAGGTACATTTTCTTCTTATGCAACTCAGGTGTGTTTGCAAAAGTTTAAAAAATGTAAAAATCAATATGAACTTTTAAAAAGTAAAGCAAATGCTGGAGAACATTGTAATTAAGGTGTGTAACTTCATATATGGATGTAACTTTGACCATTAGGTTTGGAAGGTATAGGTTCACTCCATGGGCACAGGGAGTTGCTCCTTTGTGGAGTACCTTGTTGTTGCTCATGGCTCTGCATATGAAGTAGAGCAGAAGGAAACTCGCAGAAGGACAGTAGGTGTCATTGACATGAGATGACTTTTGGAACTTAGCAATTTTGGATGGCCTTCCAGGCAATTCTTGGGCTTGTACTTTAAAGGTTAAATTATTCTTCTGTCGGCTTGTCCTTGTATTAGTCGCTATTGTCCTCTTTTCTTCAAATTGGATGACTTCCCCCTGCCCCCTCCCCCTACTCTTCGGATGCTATCAACAGTAGGAAGCACTTAAGCCTTGTAGCATAATCCCTCCTGCTCTGTTTTTGCTGTTAGTCTTTTGCTGCTATTTTCTGTTTTGGCTGTAGTAGTCAAATGCATTAATTACAGAGGACTCTTTCTCAGCCTGTACAATGATTTCTTGAAGCATACAAGGAGCAGCTTAAATTTGGGGCAAATTAAACAGCCTAAATATTCAAAAGGAGAAAAACAAGCTGCAGTTTTTCTGCAGCATAGCCGCCCCAGAAGGTGGTTCTTTGGCACAGAATAGGAAAATCCAAATTCAGAATGATCAGCCCCGGTTTTGATTTAAGCAGTGTTCAGGTTTTCTAGGTTTTATTTGGTTAAATGGCAAAAGCCTTACATGTAGATTAGGGGGAAAGGTTAAACTGAATGTGACATAAAAAAAAAAATGACATGAACTGACTAATTTTTGGCAGGTCTTTTTCATTAGCTTTTAACTGGAAAATTGTTGGGCAATCTTAACTCCTGCAAGCATGTTCAGCTTCTCCCTGACCACCTTCACATACACATGCTACTCTTTGTTCACTGTTCCTGTCAGTGTAACTGTTCAGTAATCAGAGTTGATTTAAAATCTCATATGTGAATGCTCTAACACTAGAGATGGAATTTAATTTTTAACCCATCTACGACCATGCAAATTTATTCAATTGTATGGGGTAGAGGAAGGAAGAGTGGCAGCTATGTGTAAGGCTTATTATATGCAAGAGATTTTGAAGGCTTTTCATTGTGGCCCAGATTGGATCCTAATAGGTCTTGCTTTCCAGGCAGTTTCCTTAGGCTCACTTTGGGTGGGGAAGGGCTGTTCAAAGGATAAATGCTGCCCAAATAGCTAAATGCAACCTCTTGCACTTGCTCACAGCTTAACCCTGATAATTGATGTTGCAGCTGCTCTTCCCAGCACATTGTGGTTGCTACAGGGCACATGCTCCCTTCGCAGCAGGTGCTACCCTCTGTCAATAGCTGGCTCTCCCATCTCCCCTTCCTTCCCAAGTAGCAGCTTGGCTTTCCAAGAGGTGCAGGCGGGCAACTTCTGCAGCTGCTTATGCCAAACTCGGGTGAGAAAGAGTGACGGCATTTGGGTCAGATGCCAAAATTTTAATCTAGTCTTCTAGTCTGAAATGAGCCACCTGGATGTAAACTATTGTGAAAGCTACTTAGTTCCTGTCATGAACAGGAGTTGGTTACATCCAGGAGAAAGAGAATTTGCTGAGTTTTTTTTTTTTTTTCCTTGTAATGGTTTTCTGTCGTTTTTTAGAATCTGATTTTCGGTATAACAGCACAAAGTAGTTGAAAGTTTAAACTAAATGTTGTAAAACAAAAAGCTGAAGACGACATTGGGGGAGGAGATTTAACTGGACTTTGAGCAGTTTCATTAGTAAGTAATATGCCTAGGAATGTTGTATGTTCAGTATGCGGTAGGCTTATGTGATTGCACTTCAAGGTAACAGGAACAACTTCATGAAAGTTTTAAGCTTAGTACACAGACTGGTTCTCATTGCAATGAAACGGTTCCAGAGGAAAGCTGGATAGGTGCAGCGATGTGCATTGAAGATGGACATATGTTTGGTTACCATTGCTTAACACATAGGTTGATGTGGCTAAAAAGGCTACTGTCTGAAAGATAGTTCACGTGCAGCTGTAGGTATGTGACCTGCTGTTAGTGAATTAGAGAGGCTGTGCACTGATAAATGTCAAGACTGTGTCTTTATAGAGCAAGCAGATCCCATGTTCCCTGACTGTGGGGAAAAATAAACTCACAATGATTCTCCTCTATAAAGATGAGGATGGTTTTTCAGTACGATTTAAAAGGCCTGCTTTCAGCAGCGGTAAATTGCTGTTGTCAAGCCCTGAGATTTATTTGAGTTGAGCAATACTCAGTTTCAGCTTGAAGTTCCTCTTTGAGTGACTAAACCAATGCTTCACTTCTCAAAACAAGTTTTTAGTACCTTTTAAGGGAGAAACTTGCGTATAAGACATTGTAGAAGTTGCAAATACAAAAATTATCTGTCAAGTTTTTGAATGGCAAAACCAAAGTACCTATGATTATACAATTAGTCAGTCTTGCATGCAAGAGTGGGAGAGACAGATTCTGTGTCTGTCCATTCTTTTCCTGCCATTCTCCATAAGTCTGCCAGGACACAAGGAAAACAAAAGCAGTCATGTGAAATATGGGTGAGGAGGAGGATGTTATTAACTGCATGAATATTTTCTTCTGCTCTTCTTCCTAGACCAAATGGCCTTGCTTTCATTACAGATTAACTGTGCCCCTCACTGCACTGGTGAGGGTCAAAACAATTGGAAAATGATGTAGGCAAAAGGAAACTTTCTTTGGAGAAGGCTGATGCTGGGTACTATTAAAGAGCGTGCTATGACTACTTCTTGTCTCGGGACAGATAGGACCATCAGTAGAAGCTATGTTTATTAACTATAATCCAAAAAATCTGGTGTCAATTGTAAGCATATTGCTAAGTTGATTAATGTTCTCAAAACAGGCGGTTTGCATATACTAAATCACTTTATCAAAGTAGTAATCAAATAATTAATGCCATCTGAAAAAGAGTGCCAGAGAAGAGCACTGGCGAGAGTTTTGGGAGCTTAAAATAAAGGTATGAACACAACACTTGAATATCACTGAGTTTACAGAGTTAAAAGTTACAAAGATGATTTACTATCTTGGCTTGCTCAAATTCATCCACAGGTACAAATGAAAATATTAAGAAGGTCAGATGAGGTAAAATCAGCTTAGCTGACAGCTAGTGTCACTTTTTCCTCTTCCTTTGTACTACTGATATATTTCACTCTTGAGTTTCTTTATATTTTAAATATGTATTTTTGTAACCATACAGAGTTGTCGCTTGAGATAGACTTAAGGACCATGTGAATTCTAGACTGTCCTGGGTCCTCTTGAGACTTCAGCAAATGAGAGCAAGACCACGGGTGTGAATTGTACATTCTTCCTCAGACTGCTCTGAAATGCAGATATTGACAAAAGACTGTGCAGAATGATGAACACTAGTAAGATAGTAAGCTAGCAAGCTAGCTCTTCTGTCTTGTGGGGGGATGGATGAACACATGTCTGTTTTGGTGGGGGTTTTTTTTGGTTTTGTTTTGTTTGTTTTTTTAACTAATACATCAGTTAGGCAGGGCTTTCAGTAAAAAATAAAAAAATAAAAGTTAAATGGTAAATTCCATCAACTGTCCAACCACTCTAACATCCCTAACAGGCAAGATAAAGACTCCAAATAGGCATGGGGCAGTAGACTAGGTAAAATACATTGTCAAGTTTTTGGTAGTTCTGAATAACCATAGTTTAAGCAAACCATGGATTTGTAATGTTTTTGAAGTTCAGGGAATGCACAGCTGTGGATCCTGGTCAGACCGGGAGAATGTTTTTTGAGTGCGCATCTGTAAGGGAATCTTTCTGGTGCCAGAGCAGTTAATGCTTAGGCGCAATGTCTGGATGCCACCAAACTGAGAAGACAATGAAAAGGCAAAATGAGTTGAAGCTG